TATATATATATATATATATATATATAGATATATATGTATATATATATATATATATTGACCTCCTCAGAAATAGAATTTTTATTTAACCTCATTGAAAAGAAGTTTCCCTTCATGCAGCTCTCTATATATTTGAATCTCTTCCCCTGATTATTTATTTCATGCCTTTCTGGGCCCCCGTGAAAACACTCTGGCCCCCTCCTGGCCCCCTGGTACATTTGGTCTAGATCCGCCACTGCTGAGGGTCCAGCAGGTCGGTCTCTCCTGGACTAGACCCGTCCAGCACATGGATCCAAGAGCAATCAGCTGATAATCCAGTTATCATCAGGGGACAGAAAACCACGCTGATTCCTGAAAATGTGTTTCAGACCTTATGTTGTGTGAACAGAGGCCTGACCAATCAGAGCCCTGATGCTTGAACTCCAGCCCTACATGGGAGGAGCAGAGACCAGTCAGCCTATCAGGAAGGTCGTTCAGTCTCCTTTAGTTAGGATTCATTCCCACAGTCCATTCACTCTGATCATGGAGGTTGGAAAGTTGTCAGAGCTGTAAACTAGAACTCTAGTTCTACACTAGAACTAAACTAGAAAGTCTGGTTGTCTCTAATTCAGAGCCTAATGATGCTAACTGAGGCATATCACCTCCAAAAAGCAAAGGGAAGCCTCCATCCAGGGCTGCACCTCTAGAACATCTGGAAAAAAACACCAACTGGATGGGTGACAAGCAGCAGCCCTGGAGGAGTCCAACCAGAACCAGAACTGGATTCATACTGAGCAGAAGGAACATGCCTCAACACAAACACAGACCATAAAACAGTTCGTTCTTTACTTTATGATCATCAAACCTTTTAGAAACACCACAAACCTGCTTTGTTTTTCCAAGACAGTCAAAAGAAGCAAGTTTAGTCCACAGTTTGACTCTCAGTTGATCATCAGCTGGATTTGGAAATGTTCAACCAGTTCAGGGTTTTTATGGCTCATTAAAAATCATTAAAGGAGATCCACCTGGGATCATGATTGGTTGCTGACTTCCTTCTTGTTTCCGTTGTTCTCTGCTTTTCGTCTGCAGACACGATCTCTGCTGGGAGTTTTCGAGGAGGATACCGCAGCCATCTCCAACTACTGCACTCAGCTCTACCAGGCCATGCAGAGGATTTATGATGCACAGGTACAAACTTACAGACCTAATACCTCTTAACTTTTTATTAGAGGAAGCTCATCATAGTTTTTGTTTTGCAGAATGAGCTGAGTGCAGCGACACACCTGACCTCCAGGCTGCTGAAAGAGTACGACAAACAGGTAGGAGATGAGAACATACGTTTAGCTTGATCTGTCTGCATCGCCACGATGCAGGGCTAATCCTTATTAGGGTGATGTCATCAGGTATCTGTCAAACATGCGATATGTGGCCCAGAGGATGCAAACAGGACAGAGATCAGCACACAGGATACTCTGATGGGCCAACAGGGAGGATAGTTACCACGAAATATTAGGGCCAGGCTAGAGATGCTTTTTTCTATTTCGAGAATAAAGTGGTAAAATTATGATAATAAAGTGTTAAAATTATGAGAATAAAGTCGTAACATTACGAGAATAAAGTCGTAACATTACGAGAATAAAGT